AATGAAACAGAATAGAAGAGTAAAAAACTGCATTTTATCAAATGAAGAACATCTTGTGCAATATATCCTTGTCGTTGAGAGTTAGAAAAAGAATTTTTGCTTGCTTCATACATCCAGTTTTAACATATGGCTGTGAATCCTGGACAATCGTTAGGCAGGCCAAACAATTTCTTGAGGCCTCAGGTTTTACCGAAGAATGCAACCAGGAGGTTTTGAAAGAGGCGGGAGCCTGAAGACAACTTATCACAGACATTAGAAGGAGACAGTCATCCTTTTTCGGCCATGTTATGAGAAGAGGGAAAATAGAACATTATGTGACCATTGGAAAGATCTATGGAAACGGGGATAGAGAAAGACAACGAGAGAAGATGCTTTGATAGTCTTGTTGCATGGCATGGAGGTGTGTCGGCACACGAACTGATACATGCTGCAGGAGATCGCAGATTGTGGAGAGGCATGATCGCCCACACCAGTCGGCAAAGCACCAGATAATGATGAATCGACGAAAATGTGAACTTTGTGTACTCAACATTTGTCATGAGCATTGTGGAGCTGTCTGGACGAAGATATGTGTTGCGCTAAGAAAACGATGTGTGCAAAAGTCTGACCCCACTCCACACTGGATTGCCGGTTTTTTGATAACCCAGGAGGTGCCCTAATATACCTGTGTTGTACGATTAAACGAGATGTCTGAGACTGGTTTGATTCTTATCCATGAGATGTTAATCCTACAGACTACTATCACATATGGTGAACCAATGACCAAACCAATCTAGTGTATGTTGTGTGTTGTAAAGACTAATTGGTGACAGACATAATCACATCTTTGTTCTATAAGTTGTAAGGATGCCAATGTGAAGTTAAAATTGTCCTGCTAATATCTTTCCATGTACGGTGATGTTATTACATGATCCAGATTTGAGAACCCTGTTACTCGTTGTATTACCCCTGAGGCTACGGTAGATGCAAACGTAGTCTGAATAAACGACGGAAGGCCAATTAAAATAGCACAGAGACCAGTGGATGTGCAGACACGGTTTTTGATTTTGACGTTTGTTGCTCAGTGAGCAGTCTTCTTCTTCTCCTCCACCTTGTACCTCAGTGTTGGTTGGAGGGTGTGGAGAGCGGGGGGATGGGGGGGGGGGGTGTAATATTCGTTGATGAGCTCTATCTAGAGCACTATTGGGACTGATTTTCATTTATGTGAGGCTGTTCTTAACTCTTTGAGTCCCAAGGAACGCATCATACGTTCATAGGTTTAATACCATCACTCAATATTTTCCTAGGTCTTCCACTCCCTCTATACCTGTTGTAACGTTTTAGTGTGGCTCGCTGTGGCAGATAGTACCAGGGAATTCTCGTTAGGTGTCTAAACCACTTCATTTGTTGTTCTTTGATGACCTGTAAGACTGGCTTTATTCCTAGCATTTGTTTGATTTCATGTTTTCGTTTTCTGTCTTTCCTTGAAACTCATGCAGCTCTTCTAATGCATTTCATCTCTGTTGTCACAATTTTACGTTCATTGGAGGATGTAAGTGTCCACGTTTGGCACTGACAGCATAGTGTTGGCCAAAAAAATAGTTCTGAATAAGATTCACTTTAGTACTCTGGGGTATCTGCTTGTGTGTAAACAGGGGAGATAGTTGCCACATTACTTGATTAGCTTTGGCACATCTCGGGGTAATTTCTCAGTCCATTTTTCTATCGAATGTGAAAACGTCTCCCACATACTTGAATTCCTCTGCCTTAAAGCGTTTTTTTTTTTTTTTTTTTTTTATTTGTATTTCTAAATTGTCGTTCTGTCTTCTTACAACCAATGTTCTTGACAATCCTACCTTCGATCTTATGCAGTATCTACTACGTGTGTACTGGATTTTCGCAAATATTGTTAGATGATTGCTGATTCCTTTTTTTCCCACACAATCTCACAACAAATTCCTGTCGACTCTATCGAAGCCTTTTCCTTAATCTATTCTTCTTCTTCTTCTGCGTTCGACATCAGTCATGCTAAACATTGAGTCCCGTCTAGGTCACAAATAGGATTGTGCGTTTGAGGTCGCCACCGGTCCCCCATAGCTTCTCTTTCAATGTGGCTCCCTTGGGCCAGATCCACGGTCTTTGCTGGGAGAGGTAAGGGCAGTACTGTAGTATGTGCCCAGGGGTCTGTCTTTCTGCTCCAGAATCACAGGTAGCAGATTCTTTTATGCCTATCCTCTACAAGTGTGCTCGAAGACCACAGTGTCCAGTCCGAAGTCTAAAAATTGTTGTTTGTTCTTTCCTGTTGAGTTTGTTTATGCTGTCACTCTCTGGTCTGTAATCTCCATTCTGCCCTCTCCACTCCCGCTTGAAAGACTGCTTTAGCGCTGTTTTGGTTTCCTTGTAGCTGTGTGGTGGATGAGGTTGTGGAAGATTACTCACAGCTTTTGCCAACTCATCTGCTCTCTCATTTCCTTGAATACCACAGTGGGCTGGTATCCACTGCAAGACCAGTTCTGCTTCCTTTGAGAGTAAGCCAATGTTGGTCCTTAGATCTGCAATTAGTTTGTCTCGTTTTTTGCTTGTTAGTGCTTGGATAACAGACAATGAGTCACTAAGTATAACAATTGTGTGACCTCTGTGTTCTTGATTGATGAGATGTTGGACTGCAGAAAGGAGGGCAGTTGCCTCAGCTCTGAAGTTAGTGCAGATGTCACCTGCTGGTAGAGAGAGAGAGAGAGAGAGAGAGAGAGTTCCTGCTCCACTGCTAGGGGGTTTAATGTATATTCCACAACTCCCCTTTCTGACCATCTGTAGCAGAGCCGTCGGTGAAAACCTGAGTCCAAGTGGTGTTTGGATACTTCTCATCAAGCATAGCAAGAGCCAGGGTTCTCTGTTGTGTCTCCGTCTGGGCATCTTTTGCAGTGATCTCTGGTACCTTTAGGACTAAATTTGTCTTCTCTGGCTTGCTTGTCCATGGTTCTGGCCTAAGTTTTTCGCACAGTGCTACATCTCTTTCAAGCAGATCTCGGTGCTGTCTGTACAGTTCTCTAGCAAGGTGATTGGGGCTCTGACGCTTCAGTCTGTGTTTTGTTCTCTCTTTAAATTTAAAATGCAGTGGGTGACTCTCAAGTCTTTTTTATTTCTCATACTGTAGAAGAGTTTTGTATTGTCTTCTGAGTTCGAGTGGTTCAGTATCTGCTATCCTCTCTATCTTTCTGATAGGGGTGGTTTTCATAGCTCCGAGAACAATCCTTAATCCAATATTCTGAACCTTGTCCAGTTTTCCGATTGTTGTCTTGGCTGCTGCAGCCCATGCAGTGGAGGCATATTCCATGACTGGCCTGACTGCTCCAGTATATACTTGTTTTAGGATTCTGGAGTTAGCGCCCCATGTGGTACCCGCTAATTTTTTCATCACTGCAAGCTTCTTGAATGCTTTCCCCTGTACTGCTTCTACGTGTGACTTCCAAGTTAGTCGCGAATCAAGTGTAACGCCAAGAAAGGTAGGAGTGTCAGTCTGTGGAATGAGCTGGTTTTTTATCCAAATTTTGATTTTTTTTTTTTTCTTTTTTGGGGGAGAGTGAGAAAAGTGATGCTGTGCTTTTTGAATTATTTAGCTTTAGGCCCCACTTTTCGGTCCAGGCTTCTACATTTTCCACAGTTTTCTGTAACAGATATGAGGCTGTGGTAGTGTATTCGGAGGCTTTCCAAACTGCAAAGTCATCAGCATGTAGGGTATTATAAACGTGCTGGTGGCAGGTTGCTGTGATATCATTTATGTAAACCAGGAACAGAATTGGTGCTATCGCACTGCCCTGAGGAACTACGTCTCTTAGTTTTGCCAGTTTGCCGATGTGTCCATCAATTCAGAATCTGGCTCTGCGTTGGAAAAGAAAGTCTTTGATCCACCTGTACATATTGTGCACAACTCCTGTCTGTAGCAGTTTTAGTTGTAGGCCTTCTTTCCAAACTGTATCGAAAGCACGAGAGAGGTCAAAGAAGACAGCAAGAACTTTTTTTTTTTTTCCTGGAAGGCATTCTCTATTTGCTGTGCCAGATATGTCAACTGGTCCTCTGTGTTTCTGTGCTGTCTGTATCCTGTCTGTGTGGTGGTGATTACAGAGTTTGTCTCCAAGAACCACATTAATCTTTTATTTACTAATTTCTCCATCAATTTTCCTACACAACTAAGAAGGCTGATGGGTCTGTAGCTTTTTGGGTTTCTTCTGTCTCCACCCTTTTTAAGGATAGGCTGGATGAGAGCTTCCTTCCAGGCTGACGGTACCACAAACCCCGTTCAACCGTTAGGATATATTATAAACTGTCTAACCTTTCCCGGCAAATCTCTTAAGCTGTTTATTCATTCATTTGCAAAGTTACGTTGTTTTTTAACTGCAATTATTATTTCTGTTTGAAAATTATCTCCTTTCTAAAGGTCTTATTTAGCAGCTATTGTTTCCAAAATTACCAGCAAACTTCCCCTTCACATCTGCGACACTAGTTCAACGTACTAATGCAAATATCTAGTTGCATCAGGCGTTGGCGTGTTCCCTGCCACGTATTCACAAAGGACACGTCATCGATCCACCTTGCAACATCTGTACTGTGTTGCACCAGTCGATCTAATGACACAATTCCCCTACAATTATTTCTACTGCAGCTATCGCAAAAAAACTAACATTTATTTGGTGCGTATCCTTGATCTTTAATTGTTATTTTATAAACAACAAAGGGTAGCTATTTATTTCATTTAATGGGTACGAAGTGTGTAGTCTATTGCCATCTCACGCATGCAGAAGGAAGCCATATGCATATCAGCAGGCATGACCAATCATTGAACACTGACGTCACTGGGCTCAGCCAATCGTTTTGCACCACATCAGCCTGACCAGAACCTAACTGGAAGCTGAAGAGGACGTACAGAAGATGTCTTGAGTCCTAATTATTTCCAGTTTTATCGCCTTAAACAGGCTCCGTGTCGCAACCTGTTGATTTTGGATCTGAAAAAAAGGACTTTGAAAATGTCGGCGATCACATCTAAAGCAATCGTTATCACGGCTTTCGCCGGTAAACACGGAACGATTACCGTGCCTGGCGGGAACGCCGAGTTCACTATTCTCGACTCTTCTGCTGATTATGACAGCGACGACAGCAGTAGTAACAGTGGAGGAGGGGCGCCCAAGAAACGGCGACGTTTGACGCATTTGTCGCCGGATGAGAAACTGCTGAGAAGGTAAGCTGTTCTTTCGATGATGATGTCAGTATACAGTAGTTTATCATTATAACAAGACAAGACCTAGCATTGGCAGGTACAAGTCATAGCAAAGTAAGTGAATGTTTCTAATAAAATGTATCGATCGGCCCAGCCCGACCAACAGTCGACAGACAACGACCCAAACACCAGCGCTACTTATCTCCACGTCAGACGTGGCAGATTGACACCGGTTGCATGGTTTAACGTTTTCTACCTTGTCAGTTTGACCTTAGCATTTACTGCTCTTGTAGCAAATACGCCCAGTTGAGTAACATTTTTCCATACTGTTAGTTAAGGTTACGAAGTATTGCATTCTCACTTATTATTATAAGGGACCACTGCAGTTTTATACTGTCTAAGGCAGTGTTTCTCACCCCTTTTTGTGTGTCATGCCCCACCTACCTAAACCTTTCTAGAATCAGTATGCTCCTGATGTAACTTAAACTCTGGAAAAGTCTTTTTTTGAATTCCCCCCTCCAATTTATTGTGAGATATTGTCATCCTAACAGTCAACCCCCCCCCCCCCCCCCCCCCACCAGTTGAAAAACACTGGTCTAAGGCCTTTAGTAAAGGCAGGGTTTTTTGTACACAGTACAGGCTGCTGTAATAGATACTTTGTTATGAGTACTGGCACATTTTATTTTTGTATAAGGGATGGGAGGCGGGCCTGAGTTATGAGTGACACAGAATTAAGAATACATTTGAAGTGTTAAATATACTCTCTTTAGATGACTGAATGTATGCTGCATTTAGTATAGAAAACTTCTGTAATAAAGCGGCATTCAAGTTGTAATCTTCCCTAAGTTCTGTAGACGTTCTCCAGCATTAAAAGCTTAAGACACATCGCTAGCAGATGAAACGTTTTTTGGTTTTTATACATTGTGGTTTACAGCACGGCTGCAATGTCTGGGCCTTTGTCTGACACATCCGTTTTCATAAACTGTTAATTAGTCAACCTTTATACTAACATGCTTTTGAGTGCGGTGGTGAATCTGTCCCCCCACCTCAAAGAACAAGTTGGGCCTGAAACCTAACCCGCACATGGATAAACACAAAAACAGGTATAGTTTCCGTGTGAGCAGAGAGTGAGTCATGGACCAATTCACAATCACTAAAGAAAATCCAAGCTTCTAATTTTTGATACCTCAAATTCTTAGCATACCCTGGATGAAAAAGAAAAAGAAATTCTGCAAGACCTGAACATGGAAGAAAACTGGTTTATAAGAAGCACTGTGTCACAGAAGCTGAAATACATGGACCTTAGGCAGTGGCTTTAACAACTGCATGTACTTCTTCTTACTATAAAACATATCCTGCGTATATTTTTCAAATTTGTGTTTTGTGTTTTGCCAACAGAAAACTTAAAAATCGTGTGGCAGCACAGACTGCAAGAGACAGAAAGAAAGCATTAATGGCAGAATTAGAAGAGAAAGTGTCCAAGCTGGAAGAGGAAAACAAATTGTTAAAACGACAGAACTACACATTAAAAGAAGCATCAACCACATTAGCTAAGGAAAACGCAGCACTGAAATCACAGCTGGCTGATCATCCAGTGCCTACCATCAAGACAGATTCTGAAACTATAAGGTATCTTTTGCTCCTCCTCCTCCTCTTCTTCATCATCTTTTCTTCCTCTTTGTCATCATCGTTGTCATCTTCTTTTTTTTTTCTTCTTCTTCTTCATTATCTGCATCATCGTCATCATCCTTTTCTTCTTCCACTTTCAAGAATATTCAAACAAAACAGCATCCAAATTGAGGTTGATGACATCTGTAGCGTTTGTCTATAGAGCTGGCGTATGCTGAGAAGGATTAAACAATCTGCACTGTAATAAAATTGTCCCCATAGTTTCATTCAGATTTTTACAAAACTGAACTGCAGGGGTCATGTGACATTCTGCATTTTTCCTTAGTTGATCTCTTCTTGTGTAGTTTTTTTTTTTTGAGTATAATTTGGTAACCTGTAATATCAACATGTGCCTTGTCACCTCGTGTAGGCGTCATGCCTCTCCACACAGTTTGTACATTTCTGCTCTAGATCAGTTCTGGTGTTGATGTTTCTGCATGCAACTCTTAGACTATCCAGAATTATTTCTCTTGGGCTGCCTCTGACTCCTCTGCAGCTGTCCTTTCTGGACATCATAGTATTCTGTATTGCCTCTCCCTTTTTGTCACATGACGAAAGGAAATACTGTTTGTCTTATTCTTGTAGGTGTTTTTAATTAGCTTTCTCGAGAGATTTCTTATTTACTCTAGCTGTCATAAGTCTCAGAAACGATATCTCTGCCCCTCCAAGCTCTTCTCTTATTATCAGCATTTTTGAATTTCTGATTGGATTTTTAATGAGTTATGAAAACACATAAATATCAAAGTTTCTATACACAGCAAAAATTAATCTTTTTTTTTTTTTAAGGAAACCATTTTTATTGATATCATGTGCTATATATGACTACCAGGGTTTTGAAAACGTTTTGATGCGTGTCCTCCACTTCTGTAGATCATGTATAAACACAGCTGGAGTTATGCTTGTTATGGCATTGGTGATGTTTGTTTTTCCAATAGGTTAGATGCGTATCCTTTACAGGACGTTGCAGAACCAACCCCAGCAGCCCCGGCTGTTGTGTGGTTTCTGTAGCAAAATTTTGTCCAGTAGTTTGCCATTGCTTTTTGGACAGTCGGCCCCCTAATATCATTGTCGAAACCAACGCAGGCGTATGGCCCGCAGCTGGGTTCGAACCCGGCATTACATTAAGCGTTCGGATCGACTTAGCCACAGAGCCCACTTTTTTCCTATATATGTACATAAAAACACATGTTTATAGTTTTCTGCTACTTTCTGTTATTGAATACTGAAATGGAAATAGTAAGTGGCTAGTTGGGATGGTAGAAGACTGCGCTGCTAATTCATTTCTTCTTTCACTTCCTGTGTGTTCACCCTTACATTTTCTGTTTTCAGATGTGTTGTGGTTGACAGATAGGCTGCAGTATCTGCACCGTTTATCTCAGCACTTCCAGTTTTAAAAAAAATACTAAATCGTCACCTTTTACAATATGCTTGCTTATAAGGGGACAGTGGCTCTGTTTGGGCCCCCGGAACCTGGTGGGTGTGTGTGTGTAGAACAGTTCTACTTGCAGAGTTAACTCTCTGAATCAGTACCACAGTTGCTAGTTAAGGTACACTTAGTCTCGAATAATAGCTATCAATAACGTCATTAAAAATCTAGCCATATATTGGAGGAACATGCGGTTAGGTAGTTATTGTAGGGAGTTGCATGTGTTTATTGCTGCCTTTTCTACTTTCCAGGTCTGCAGCACCTGCTGTTCCTCCGCAGAAGGAGCAGTTTCAGATTCTGTCTCGATGGATGGCTCAGTACATCACCGTTGTGGTCACCCTCAGGTTAGTATGTGTAGTTTTCATTTATAACATCCCTTTGATGGAAATGGAAGCTATCCACAACTGCTCCTTTGTTTAACCTGCGTTCCTGAAACCACATCATCTGACTACTGAGGGGGAATTATATTAACCTCACAGGTGTATTACTTTCACAAGAACTGGCCTGTACGTCTGAAAAACAAATTTGATAAGCCAAGTGTAGAAGGCCACACCAGTTGTGACAGTTTAATTACCAAGTGTAAAATGGGCAGGACAATTCTTTTAGGACCAGGTAGTTATTATTCAAGCCCATCTATCTCAGAAGGTTTTTACTTCATTCAGCACAAGTAACAGTTTTGGCCAGAATGAGTTAAACTTTTTACCCCAGTAATGTTAAAGTAAAATTAAAAAAAGGGTCACGACCCTGTTGGAATTGTATTAAACATCCTTATAATAAAGCAGTTTTACACAGGTCATTAATAAATTTGTTAAAAAATTCTTTTTCTTTCTCTCTCAATTCTAAGAAAACTAAGTGGAACCACATGGGGAGCAGATGGGAAAATACTCAATAAAGTGTACAAGCAGAGCATACTTCCACACTTGGAATATGGGTCAACTGCATGGTGTTCAGCATCTAGTACTACATTAAAGGAGTTAGACAAAGTGCAAAATCAAGCGCTCAGAGTCATCACAGGAGGGATGAAATCAACTCCCATATTAGAAATGGAGAAAGCTGGGAAAACACAGGCACTGAGAGAACGTAGAGATACAAAGTTGCAAATACAAGCTGAAAAGTTCCTCAGTATGCCAGATCACCCGATGGAAAATAGATTTAAGAACCTAGCCTTGGGACGGTTAAAAAGAAGCAGCTTTATACACCAAGCAAAAAGAATATGTAGACAAACTCCTGACCTTCCAGAAATTGGCTGCCCACTTAAAAGTATTCCGGAACAAACCCCATGGAGAGAAAAATGTAAACTAACGGTACAAATCCAGACAAATGTGAAAGGGATATTTGACAAGAAAGAGCAAGATAGTGTACAACGCAGAATGGCCACCCTCAGTTATATTGATGAAGAATACCCACAAGAACAATGGGTCAGAGTCTATACAGATGGGTCCGCAGAAAGTGCAGTTAGAAATGGTGGTGCTGGAGTGTACATCGAATTCCCAGATGGTACTAGGGATAAGTCCAGCGTACCAACCGGGAAGTACTGCCATAACTATGATGCAGAAACCCAGGCTATTAAGATAGCTACAGAGAAACTGCTAAATACCAACCTTGGCTTACAGTATGTGGTAATGCTCATAGATGCTAAATCAGTACTTGAAGCACTCCAGTTTAGGAAACTACCAGAATTGCAAACACTGCTGACACAACTCAGCGCTCAGCGAAGAGTCGTAATGCAGTGGATACCGTCTCATTGTGGAGTGCCTGGAAATGAGAAAGCTGATCAACTGGCAGGAGAAGGTGCGAAAAAAGAGCAGCCAGATGTACCAGTCACATACCACCAAAAGAAAAGAATCATTAAATCGATCAGGAAACCACCAGCCCCAGCACAAGACGACTATTTTATTATGGACAGACCAGAACAAGTCATTATCTTCCGCCTCAGAACAGGGCACAACCGATTACGTAACCACATGTACACAAAATTCAAGATAGGTGTATCAGCCATGTGCACCTGTGGAAATGTGCCCCAGACCGCAGAGCATGTACTCCAGGACTGCACCGATTTTGACACATTAAGGCAAACCTTTTGGCCAGAAAGAACAACAGTGGAACGTAAACTCTATGGACCACTGAATGAACTAACAACGACAGTGAAATTTATACAAGAGACAAAACTGCTGATATAGATAACTTATTTCAGGCGAACGAAAGAAGAAGAAGAAGAAGTAGAGACATGAAGGGTAATCAATAAACATTAAGAGGGTGACACATTAAATGGAATACATTCTTCAGGGCCTAAAAACTCGGTGAAGGGCCTCCTGCTATTTATTAGGCTATAGGAAAATATGTCAACTTAGGGTGTTTATAAAAAAAAATTTTTTTTACTCAAAGGGGCAAATCAACCCCCCCCCCCCTTTTCCCTCTAAGTTTTTTTTTTCTTTTCAAGTCAATAAAGCAGATAAAACATTTGCAAAGCTGGGGAAAACAGCAATAGCATTAACAATGTGTCTTGCAAACAGATCAGGATAATCGGAAATGTGACATTTACAGGGTTAAAAGGTTAGTTGTGAATCCTTTACAGAACATTGGAGTACCAACCCCAGCATTTTTTTGACTGTTGGTTTTTCTAGGCAGAGTTAGTCTAGTAGTTTGCCATTGCTTCCTGGGTGGTCGGCTTCTTGTTGCCACTGTTGAAACCAGCGCAAAGCCCGTAGCTGGGATTGAGCCCGGCATTGCAAAGCTAATTTATGGGGTCTTGGGGCCAAAACTGGAAGTGTAACAAATGGCCGTCGCCGTCGAAGTTGAGAAAAATGTATTAGTTTAATATATGCATGGTTAATTTAGGGACTACAGTTTCGACAATTTGCGGTCTTTTCGGCAAGTTCCGTTACCCGGAAACCGTTCAGAACTTGTTCGGGAAATCTCGGCTGGTTTCCGTATGGGTCCAAATCTCTCATGAAATTTTGCCATTGGTGGGAATTTGGACCAGCTATAAATAGCTGAAAACAGCGTGGGGGAACCCGATTAACAGCGCATGTCTACGACAGCCGGACTCCTCTGTTTTTCTGTTAGTCATCAGTTTGATTAAAAAATAGCGGTAAATTCGAGGTTGGCTTTAGGCCTTAAACATTACCAGTTGTGGTAATGCTAGTTACAGTTGAATTCTCCGTCTAATTTTACATTTGCATATTAAATTTTTTTTACCGACTCTGGCTGTTTAGATTTACAGTGACGTTTTTTAGGCAATCGCATGCGGCTGAGTGAGCTGAGTCTCACTGCCTGCCATCTTGTCCAATGACAGTCCAATGTCAACAAAGCCGATACAGAACTGCGCAGTAGGTTGCGCAGTCAAAAAACTTCTTGTTTCTGGGTCACAAGTTTTAGCGGCTGTTTCTTACATCTCATCTCCACAAAAACCTACATATCTCAACTCAGAAGTGACATAGAAGCCTAAATGAGGTACCATTGGAAAGAGATTGTTTACAGCTATCTAACTGTGCTGGTTTTATTGGTGTAGAGGGCATTTTAAAAATTTGACTGAAGTACCTAGTTAATTGCTTGGTGTTGAATGAGTTGAAAGAAGATCCAGAATTCACAGTGGAAACTAAATGTATGATATATGCAGCCTGTTTCATCAGCAAGAGGTGAGATGGTTTGATCATCTGTTGAGGATTGTGTCTCAGCAGTTCTGTGTGTGTCAAATTCATACATAATTGAGTTAAATATTAAAATTTAAGTTCTAGATAAACAAAAATTTTTATTCCGTAAATTTTCTGGTGCTATGAAAGCTCCTCTTGATTTTAATTAATTGTCTCTATCTTCCACCATCTTTATTTGTTGCTTCTTAAACAGGTAAATGTTTCCACCTCTTGACAGTTTTCACCCTGTCCTCATTTTCATTGTCTCTTATAAATTTTTGTATACCTAATTGTTGTGATCTTAAATCAAGTCTGTTTTAATCTGATTTTGTGTGCTAGGTGGTCAGTGAAGCCCAGATTGTCGGTCTGTTGTGTGATTTTGTATGGAACTTGAGAGATAATGTCAGTGAAGCCCAGATTGTCAGTCTGTTGTGTGATTTTGTATGGAACTTGAGAGATAATGTCAGTGAAGCCCATATTGTCAACTGTTGTGCGATTTTGTGTGGGACTTGAGAGATAATGTCAGTGAAGCCCAAATTGTCAAGCTGTTGTGTGATTTTGTATGGAACTTGGGAGATAATGTCAGTGAAGCCCATATTGTCAACTGTTGTGTGATTGTGTGTGGAACTTGAGAGATAATGTCATTGAAGCCCAAATTGTCAAGCTGTTGTGTGATTGTGTATGGAACTTGAGAGATAATGTCATTGAAGCCCAAATTGTCAACTGTTGTGTGATTGTGTATGGAACTTGAGAGATAATTTCATTGAAGCCCAAATTGTCAAGCTGTTGTGTGATTGTGTATGGAACTTGAGAGATAATGTCATTGAAGCCCAAATTGTCAAGCTGTTGTGATGAGTTCAACTGCTGGCCTCAGTTATTGTCTCCATAATTCAATCTTTAGCCAGGGCAGTAATATTTTTTTTTCTTGTTTTTCATCTAGAAAAACTGAGCTAGATAGCTTTATATCATGATTTTATTAAATTGATTATTGCTTTGTCATTCAAAGATATCTCTATCAGTATTGTCAAAAGGCTTTTTCATAGTCCACAAATCATTTATAAATTGACAATTTAAGTTCATTGATTGCCTCCCTATTATTTGGTCAGTGCAGGATCTTCTTGGCTTTCTTTTTCTGCCTTTCTATCCCCCAATGGAGCATAGGCCCTCAACCAACTCACACTAAGTCGTTCTAGCCTTCGCTATTACATGGAACTCTCTCCATGCCTTCCCCATCTTTCTGACTTTATTCTCCAGCTCTCTTCTCCATGTGTTTTGTGGCCTTTCTTTATTCATTTGCCCATGTGGGTTCTGATGCAAAGACAAATTCTGTTTTTGCTGTTCTCCTGTTTGCAGCCTAAAATTGTCACTTCATACTTGTTTATATTATTGACTCACACCATTTCTTAGTCTTATTAAGCATTTATGTCATCTCAGAAAATTAAGAGAGTTATTGTTTGTGTCTTTGCAGTCTGATGATTTCCTGGGCTTGCTACAAGAACTTGCAGAAGACAGCAAATGTGAGCAGTCGCAAGCGCAAACAACCACACCCTTCCCGCAGGATATCAGTGGAGGAGACTGCACTGACCACCGCAGCAGTGCCGACCACAGAACCTCCTCACCTCGAGTGGTGGGGCTCACACCAGCGGAGCTGGAATCCCTCAATGAATTGATCTCCATAGATCACATCTATGTCAAGTCTCAGCCTATAACCTCACAGAAAGGGAAGGAAGGACAGCATAAATCTCATGCTCCCGTTCGTGTACATGGACAGAACGCTAGCATTATTTCTTCACAACAGAAAGTTGATAGCAGCATTTTGGGTTCCAAGAGGAAGCACTGCGAGGAAGTTGGCAGTCAGACAGTCTCATTGGTCCAGCCCAACATTCTCGCACACCCTCCAAGCAGAGAATCACAAACATTGAATCATAATGCCACAGATGATTTCACATTATCCTCATATTTATCACCAGAATCCTTGTCTTCACTGCAGTCAAGCGATCCAAGCATTGCCGATGACTTCATCACTTCTCTTTCAGACTCCGACGTGGAGTCTTCGTTGAATCTTTTCCAAGACTTAGATTTCAGTACCATTGAATCCAGTTTTAAACCCGTTACATCTGAGGACATGAGTGACAGTAAAAATGACATCTGCATGAACTTTAAGTATGAACCATTCGCAGCAGACATGTCAGAAAGTGAGATCAACACCACCAGATTGTTTGATGAGATTTACGAACACTACTTGAACATCAAAGAATCCTCACCTTTAGATTGTGCTGCCTTGAGTGACTCTGGTGTCAGTAGCGATATTGATCCTTTGTCCCCTGGAAGTACTGAAGAGTCCTACCATGATGATATGTGGCATGACACTTCATTTGCTGATTTATTCCCTGGCCTCCAGTAGTTGTCTGTCGTTCAGACTTGCCTTCTTTTCTTGCAGACGTGCCAGGGTTGTAGACAGAATAAAACTGGTTTGTTTATTTGTCATACCAGCCTGCACGGATTTGAGGTTGGCAGAGGCATTCTGCCTTTATTTCTCAAACAGCAGTTTGGAGGTTGGTGTCCACTTTTGAAAGTGTTGGGTTTGTATCCAGTGAAACCCAGTGATGCCACACTTCATCTAAGTCTCTGGGCCTAGCCTTCTTTGTTACAGGCCAAAGAAAAACTCCTGATATGTGGTTTGAAACCATAAATAGCAGGTCCTGGTAAAACTCCTGCCTGCAGGAAAACATTTAAAGAATGTTAAGGAGGGTGTAACCAAGGTCCAGACATACGGTACTTTAGCTTGGTGTGTAAGCTAAAGGTGGAAAAGATCACAGCTTAGATGTAATTTGGTGCACAGAAACAAATAATTCCCCACCACAGATGAACACCAGAAATAATCCGGGTCCCTCAGGTACCAATGTCTTCCTGGCCAACACCTGTAGCAGTCATAGAAACAATGTAGTGACGGTTAAGTGCAGGGATGGAGTTGTAACATGTCATTAAAACACATACACACACGCTATATATTTATATACACACACACACACATTTAGATGTATATAGGCAAGTATTCATACATACATATATGCGTGTGCACACATACACACACACACACACACACACACAAGGTTTTGGGAAAAATAAGTAGTCCTATATATGTCCTTGTCGTTCTACCCTGTCTGGGACTTCAAGTAACTTTGCAACCTTAGGTAGCCCTAATGTAACTAGCGATTAAACAGGGTTTCTGGGATTTTTTACCTGGGGGAATTCTCATCCAAATAGTGAAGCTGTGCACTTTCTTCGGGTGTTAAACCACTCGGTGTGCAGTCCTAGTAGGGTTGTATCAACGGGTGTTAATCGCTCGGTGTGCAGTCCTAGTGGGGTTGTATCAATGGGTGTTAATCACTCGGTGTGCAGTCCTAGTGGGGTTGTATCAGCGGGTGTTAATCGCTTGGTGTGCAGTCCTAGTGGGGTTGTATCAACGGGTGTTAATCGCTCGGTGTGCAGTCCTAGTGGGGTTGTATCAGCGGGTGTTAATCGCTCGGTGTGCAGTCCTAGTGGGGTTGTATCAACGGGTGTTAATGGCTCGGTGTGCCGTCCTAGTGGGGTTGTATCAACGGGGGTTAATCGCTCGGTGTGCAGTCCTAGTGGGGTTGTATCAGCAGGTGTTAATCGCTCGGTGTGCAGTTCTAGTGGGGTTGTATCAGCAGGTGTTAATCGCTTGGTGTGCAGTCCTAGTGTGGTTGTATCAGCGGGTGTTAATCGCTCGGTGTGCAGTCCTAGTGGGGTTGTATCAACGGGTGTTAATCGCTCGGTGTGCAGTCCTAGTGTGGTTGTATCAACGGGTGTTAATCGCTCGGTGTGCAGTCCTAGTGGGGTTGTATCAGCAGGTGTTAATCGCTCGGTGTGCAGTTCTAGTGGGGTTGTATCAGCAGGTGTTAATCGCTTGGTGTGCAGTCCTAGTGGGGTTGTATCAACGGGTGTTAATCGCTCGGTGTGCAGTCCTAGTGGGGTTGTATCAACGGGTGTTAATCGCTCGGTGTGCAGTCCTAGTGTGGTTGTATCAACGGGTGTTAATCGCTTGGTGTGCAGTCCTAGTGGGGTTGTATCAACGGGTGTTAATCGCTCGGTGTGCAGTCCTAGTGGGGTTGTATCAATGGGTGTTAATCACTCGGTGTGCCGTCCTAGTGGGGTTGTATCAACGGGTGTTAATCGCTCGGTGTGCCGTCCTAGTGGGGTTGTATCAACGGGTGTTAATCGCTCGGTGTGCAGTCCTAGTGAGGTTTAGCTTCACTCACTTGTAACGTCATTTATAAATTAGTGCATAGGTTGAGTAGGGAACATAATGACTTGATAAGGCAATATCCTGATTGCCTTTATTGTTGGATAGTGTTTAGAGAATCATGATGGCCTCAGGCTATTTCACAAAGCTGTCGGTCAGTGGTTCAAATCCTTTGGTGCCATTAGTCCATGATCATGTGATTTTGGGCGCATCCCAGCCAACTAAAATTGATGTGGGATATTTCAGGGAAGAAAGGTCTAATTGGGGATACATATATCATCCAGCATAAGCTGAGGTTGGTCAAGAAATAGAAACCACGCCATATGCGTCAGCCCAAACAAATGCAGAACCAGTCAGCTTCAGTAAGCCCAGGATGGCTTGAAAATGGACACTGGGTTTACAGACAGGAGGCGTTAAAGGCTGGAATTATTTATTATAATGTAATTTTAAAAAATGTGAACAGCTTTTTGGTAAAGTTATAAATGTGAGCTGTTGGAATATCCCTGATAATATACTGTCAGTGTGCCCAGGAGGGGACAGAAATCATGACTGTATACAAGGTCTGTGTGCCACAAGGGTTCATTGTTGTGTCGGTGTAAATGTGATAGTTGAGAAAGGGATATATTTATATATGTATATTGTATTATAATTGATGGCTTGTGTATGTTAGATGCGAACCAAGTATGGCTGTGTATATGACTTGTGCATGTTTTATGTTGTCCTTTTTTCCTGCTGGATACTGTGACGTGAGATGTCACAGCTACAATAAACAAAACAAAGGTGAAAGGGCTGAATCATACCATCTTCCATGTTAGTTTGTTGTAGTTACAGTTGTTGTTTGTGAGTGAATTCAGTAACCAGTGTCAGTTGAGGTGAGAGTTTTTCAGTCATGGAGGTTGCGTTTCCACATTGAAGGTTAGCTGCAAAGAATCTCTGTCTATAGTCTTGGTAGTACTGTTCATCCATCTCTTGATTTATTCTCCCACTTGTATCACTGCCTACCTCTTGCTCTCTTGCCCTTCATTTTAAAATATTTAATTTCTCTTTTTTTAATTCTTTCAGTAACTTTTTTCATTTACTTTTTCCAGAATCTCTGTATTTGATTTTTTCCATGAAATACAGCTTATTCTTCTATATATCTACATCTCCAAAGACTATTCGATTTTCTAGTTGCTTGTTCATTGTCCAAGTTTCTGCACAGTGCAGGTGAGCATACTTAACATTTGATAATTTTCATTGTGTTATCACTCTAGTTTTCAGTAATGTTTGCATCTTTTTGAAGATAGTTTTAGAGTACCGAATGGTGGCTTAGAAGTTAGCTTGTGTGGTTAACAATGGTATGACCTTGAAGTACTGGGTTTCATTCCCCATGACGGAAGGTTTAAAAAAAAAAAACATTTTCATAGTTTCAGATAGTGTTACGTGAGCAATGCTGTGGAAGTAATTGTTTCACCACGTAATATTCCCAAAGGCATGAGTTGTACCCTGCAGCCAACCTTCACTGTAGAATTGGCACAGAATTACAATATTGTTTTGGTGATATATAAAAGTTTTTAAGAACTATACAGAGCCAGTCCTGATGCGTGCATCATGGACTCTGATTGGTGGAAACTGCAGAGACTGATGTTCAAATGAGAACATCGTGGATAAATAAAAGATGCAATATCTTGAAATTAATTCATGAATAGGACCGGTTACTCACATCAGAAGGAAACAGTTGAAATCTTTTGGTCACATTGTAATGGGGGGGGGGGGGGGGAATAGTGTGTGAAAGTTGGAGGGGAAAGGAGATGCTGGACAGTTTGGCACCATGACTCAGCTGTCACAGATGATAGTGTTTGTTTAAATGTTCACTTGTTGTCTGTGTGCATTTGGGGGGGGGGGGGGGGGGCATTAACTATTTGTCATATTTCAATTATTCTGTCACCACTTGAGTCATATTTTGTGCAGGCACCGGTTACTGTGCATGTGTAATTGTTGTCTCTGATCCATACAGCAGCACTATTAGCATTTTTATATTCATTCAGTATCCAGCGTCGGAATTTTAACTCTTAACTTGCTGCTGAAGATGGGAATGGAGTGCTTATGGGGGTGTCCCGAGTGCTGTGATGTTGATTCTTACTTTAACATTTAACATTCGGTATCCAGCAGAGTCACCATGAACTGACCTCAAGTTTGAAACATCTGGCTACCGCAGTAGAGAACAACACCTTTAGATAAATTCATTGAAAAACCTAATAATATGGTTTGGCCATTTCTTATTTTCTTTACTCCTGGAATGCCTCGCGGAGTCAGGGTAGGAATAGATCTCTTATAGCCGGCCCTTCTGTTAGCTTTGAATAGGGTATTTTTCAGTGTCTTCTGATATTTCTGCGGTGCATATTCTGCGCTGTCGACCCCTGG